GGGGTCACAGGGACCCTGAAGGAATCAGCTGATGCCTGTGACTGCTGCAGGGCCTCACCTGTCTGTCCCTTCCCCAGGGTTTTCTCCAGTCTGTAGGGCCCCACGTACTGGCTGGACTGGCCCCCCCCCGTCAGCTCTTTACTGCTCATCCTTCCGGAGGAGTGGAATTCTGCTCCTGATTGAAGAGAAATCAAGAAAGGGCTCGGTCCAGCTCCGCGCCTCCAACGGGAACGGACATCACAGGCGGAGGAAAAAACACACAGAGAGGAGAGAGGAGGGAGGAGAGGAGGAGAAGAGAGAGGAGGAGAGGAGAGGAGGACTGGTGTGGTCGTGATCTAACGCCGGGCCCTGCAGGATACTCCCATGTACTTGTTTGTCACGCGGTCAGGCCCAGTTTCCACTCCTCAGAATAAACTATCATCCGACTCGGTCTTTTCCCGTCACAGCAGCATCATCACCCGGAGGAGGAAACAGAAAATCAGCCGAACCCACAGACACGTCTTTGTTAGTCTCACGTCTGTGTTCGGTTCAGTCCAACCTGTCGTGCTATAAATACGGCCGTAGTTCGGAGCCGATTGATCCGTGGAGTTTACTGGGTGGACCAGAAGTGGAGCACGGGAGGAAAATCTCCCCCAGACCGGGGCAGGAAGGCTACACTTGGCCGCAGATTGATTTCTATAAGAGCAGAGTCTCAAATATCCCAAGTCAGAGCGAAGCCCTGCTCACATCCATGCAGTGGGTCGATATCAGCGTCCCCCCTTCTCTCCCTCAGTCCTGGCTACTGCTGTACCATCCAAAATTCCTTCTCTCTCTCCCCCCACCCCCCCCGCTCTGCAGCCAGGCCTGGTTCGGTTCGGTCAGGACGTGCCTCTCGGTGCAGACTCGGCGATGACCAGAGAATAATCTATTATCGTAACAGCATCAGCAAGAAGAATGGGTTTTCCAATATCCGGTGCACACTTTGGCTCACCCCCTCCCCGGCCCTGCATCAGGAGATAGAGGAAGAGGGGGGAGAGCATTAAAAAATATATTTAGAACAAAAAAAAAAAAAAGAAAGAAAGAAAAACAGGCGAGCAGCCTCGGTGTGATTCAGGCCGAGGGAGGAGGGAGGCTGCAGCGGGGAGAGATGCGCTGGCTGTGCCGCAGGAGGAGGAGGAGGAGAAGGAGGAGGATCAGCGCTGGCCTCGGTGAGGTGATGAAATCCTGCTTCTAGAAACAACAAGCATCCTCAGCTGGCTCGGTGCACGGTGGAAGCACTTCCCTCACCCTCACCCTCACCCTCCCTCTCTCTGTCTCTCTCTCTCTCTCTGCCCCTCTGCCGGCTGCGCTCATCCTACCGCCGCATCCCCTCCCTCACAGCGCCGCAAAAAAAGAGGAAGAGCAAATGAATAAATACCGGTGAAACAGTGTCCGAGCAGAAAGTCCGAGTTCAGAGGTTTGCTTTTCGGTTTGTTAAACATAAGGCGGCCCGTGACGTCCTTCTCTCTCCCCCACTCTCCCTCTGTCTCTCTCTTTCATCCTCTTCTCCTCATCGGGCAGCATCAGCATCCGGGTTCCTCCTCACCCCTCCCTCCCTCCCTCCCTGCCTCCATCTATCCATCTATTCTTCCCCACCTCCCCCTCCTCTCTCCCTTGACTCCCTCTGCCCCCACCCTTTATTTTACTACAGTCAGAGTTCCACACTGTGTCTGCCGCTGTAAAAGACGAACCGCACACACATCACGGACCGTCCGACTAGAACCGGGTCAACTTTCATCCACTAACACAGGATTTTTTAAATAAAATCCCTCTGCTCGTCTGTACAATGTACTCGATTATTATTCAGTTACAAATACTCGATACTCGATATGTGTCATTTAAAAAACAACAAGTTGGACTTTTTCAGCTCCTGCAGGCCACACCAGATGACTTGACGGGCCACATTTGGCCCACGGCCCTTGAGTTTTGTTTTTTTTTTTGATTGTTTGTTTGTTTGTTTATTTATTTTTAGGAAGCAAGACAATTCTACGGAACCCCTAAAGGAACATGGGGAAAACAAACAGATAAATGTTTCAGGTGAGCACGTGACAGTTTCAGCCATGTCCCTCTAGGGGTCGCCATACCAGACGACTTTGTTACCAGTGTTCTGTCATTGTCCACTGCTGTGATTAAGGTCCAAAAACGGACTCCCAAATCCTAATCCTAATCCTTCTATAATCTCATGATGAATCCAGTCGATGTGGCCCAGATTATTTTACTTTGTACTCAAACAGTCATTCTTCCAGTAGTACTACAGTAGTACTACAGTAGTACTACAACATTTTTACATCTGTACAGTCAACTCAAAACCAAAGAAGAAACTGAAATACGAGTGACGTTCAACCACAAGAGGCTGCTGTTTTGCTACTTGTACTTCATAGGTGGTATATTTGCCCCGTACATATTCTGAAAAGCTAAAGATGTTTAGTTCTAACTGAAAACAGAATTAATTATTTACTGCAAATAATTCATCTTTGCTCATTTACGCCGATGTAGCAAGTAGAACAATGACATACTCTTCCACTAGATGTCAGCAGATGGCTAATAAAACTAACCTAAAAAAAAGAGAGCCATTCGGAGCTGTTGAAGTTCTGTGTCTTTCTTCAACTCCTGTGAGTTCATCAGGGTTGTGTTCAACTAAACAGGCCCAGGTTTCACACTGATGAAGTAGATCGTGACTAAATCACTGAACCCGAAGATCGAGAAACTGTTTGTCCGTACACATGATGCTAGCTGTGGATAAATATATCCACCTCACTTTTCCCAACAACGTCTCCACCACAGGTTTGGACGTCGAATCATCAAAAACCACGGACTCGGTCGTTTACGCCCGTCCTGACCAAACGTCCGGTTTTTATTTATCGTGACAAAAGATCAGTTCAATTTTAAGCTCCATTACTTTTTCAGATGAGGATTTACGACGTGAAGGTCTGAACTTTGGGGGGACTGGATTCTCACCTCCACACACATATATTTATATATTTATATTTATTTATTTATTTATTATGATCTGTGTTTAGGACGGATCAATTCAATACCTTCTCTCGGGGTGAATAGGTTAGACTCTCACCACTCTCCACCAGCAGGGAGCGCTGTGAGATTTGGAAGTGACCCTTAACAGAAAACCCGAGCGGTAATTAAACCTGGTGGTGAACTGCGGTACTGTGTTGGAGTTTTGACTTCGTCCTCCTCTCACCTACACCACACTCTGACCTCTGAACTGCTATACATGTCTTTTAACCTTTGCCCTTGATTCAGCTGTTGTTGTCTCTTCATCCGTGCAGCCTAGCCAAAATTTTGCAACCCTCGGTGGAATCTCCCTGAGGCATCTGGACGGTCGCCCACGTGAAGCTGCTGGACACCATATATCTGATGAACCAGACGTGTTCATGTGTCAGCGACATGTGAGTGTGTGTGTGTGTGTGTGTGTGTGTGTGTGGACATCAGCTGTAAATTTACCCACAGAGACGACCCTCAAAGTGCAAACCTCAGCCAAGGTCGGCGTAGAAATAACCTGCACTCATATATGTCTTTACTTTAGTCCAGTTTGAAAACCGTGAACTCAAACTCCTCTGATGTTCCTGAACGTTCCCTTCATAAAAATATGTAAATTAATAGAATAAACTCCTTGGTTGATGAGAATAACGTGGTGAGGGAAATTTACAACAATAAAAGTTTGACAGAAGAAAGTTCAGAATGAATGAAGTTGTACCAAAATAAAAATTAAATTAATAATTTATGAAAATAAAGTTGTAAAAGTTGTCAGTCTTAGCTGGAAATAAGGAAGAAAATACATTAAAATGTTAAATGTACGAGGATCAGGTTGTTATTTTTTCTTCTGTGGTTTCTGCTGTTTTTTAATCTACACATATTCTTATATTTGATATATTTATATTTATATTTTAATATTCTGTCATGTCGTGGACTTTTTTTGTCTGTGACGACCGTTTCTTTTTTCACACGCTGACACCAGGGGGTGTGTACACTGTTTGAGTTTACACACACGCACAGAGTCACGTCACGTGCACGCGCTCGCCCTGTGGGTTTGAATGTCGCTTTGAAGTAAATGCAACTGCAATACTTCTTATTTATTAAAAAAATACTTCTATTATACTTAATGTAGCGATTCTTTGGCGCCCTCTTGTGGTTACTAAATGTTATTCAAAGAAACAAGTGGATTTAGCAAAGATTATTTCTAGATGCAGTGATCATACACTTGAACATATACTTGCTCCAACACGTACTGCGTTTTTAACAGAAAAAAACACCACATATATTTGTAAAAACAGACAAATCCAACTGTACTCACGTACGACACCACAGACACCACAGACGCCTCCATGTTGTCAGGGTTGATCAGTGTACACTCATGCCTGAAATATAATCTGATCAAATACACACAAAGATATTTACACAAGAAAGTAAGGCAGCTCACACACACACACACACACACATCTCTGTATGTATAAAGACATATTAGTACTGGATGTACTGTAGTATCCCTCACCTCCAGTGTACCTACATCAGCACAGAGTTTTACTCCAAACACAGTACACGCCTGTACTGCGTAGGGAGCCTGTATTTCACCCCCGGTGGACGTGACGTGTGTGCGTGAACAAAGACAGACTTACGACGTCGTGGTCGTTGTTGAAAACCTTTATTAAGTTTCTATTTCAAGTTGTTGCCCATCAACTCTCCGGAACAGTCTACAGGTCTGTACGTCAGTCAGAGAGGAGAAGAGGGGAATGGAGGTGAGGTGGGGTGAGGCTGCGGGGGAGGCTGCGGGGGAGGCTGCGGGACAACAAGGAAGTCTAAAAAAACAAAAACAAAAAAACCAACATGAAACAGAAAGAGGAGGAAACTGTGGTTTCTGCTGCCAGATCCCAAACACCGCCTGGATCACGCCACGAACATCACCGTCATCACCGTCATCATTCAGACTGGTGCTGTTGTGCAGAAGGGAATGCTGGGAACTCAGAGGACTCAGTGCAGTGGACCTGGATAAAGACACAGGAAATAAAAGGAATAAAACGTTTTTTATGTATTCATCAGAAACAGATGCAGCTGACGCTGTTTCAACACAAACTTTACAGCTAACAGCTAACGGCTAACAGCTAACAGTTCAAAACAACTAACAACAAAACAAAAAGACCAAACTCTGGGGCACGCTGACATTTGAGGCTGGAGAAGAGTTCCTCATGACGTTCCCTCGGCTGCACTTTTCACACAGGCAGCGAAGGCCTCCATCAGGTCTTTGCAGCCGTCGCCTCCTTTCTCTGCCACGCTGGAATTTCTCTGCCACGCTGGAAAAAACACAAGAAAGAGTTTCAGCAGACGATAACGTCACTGCAGATCAGCTTTGAACTGTGTTCATCTGTGGAGCTGCTTCACTGGGTACTGGGTACTGGGTACTGGGTACCCCGTACTGGGTACTGGGTACTGGGTACCCCGTACTGGGTACTGGGGACCACGTACTGGGTACTGTGTCACCTGGGTCTGATAAAAGAAGTGATGCTGTGACCCACGGGTCAGACCACTGGGCCAGAGAACTGTTCCAGCCCGTGGGTCATTTGGATCTGGGCCACAAAGAGAGTTGGACTTTTATTTTTCTTTCTTTCTTTTTTATTCTTCATCATCAGAGTCTTTTATTTTGAAAAACACTCCAGATTCTTCATAAGATCTGTAACAAAGACTAACGTTGACCAAACGGTGTAAACAACAAGGGGAGGGGGGTGTTTGGGAGGGGAACTGACAGAGCGAGCCTGGGGG